ATTTAAGCCTGTTATTCTAATGAGAAGGCACATGTCGCCTCGATGTGAACTGTGTGCAGTTGGTCTCCACGTGACATATTCAGTAGAAGACTCATAGAAAGCGGTGAGTGTGCAAGGAAACTATTCTGTGTTTACTGTGGTCAAAATCTTGGTTTAGCTATTTCTGTTTAGTTATGCAGGTGTTTGGCTGGGTAGCTCGTGGTCAACTCAACCCTTCCTGGCTCTCGGGAAAGCGAATTCTGCCGAAACGTCGGCTTGCTCGCAAATAATGGCATAAAATAACACCTTGCATTTGGTCAACAAGAAAATAGAGAACATTTCGTTTTACTGACAAAAAAAGAAAGATAAGAGCCAACGAGAAAATTGCCCTTACCCGATTTGAGACGCTGCTAAAAGCGGCACCGCGGTGGAATACGTTATTTATAACGCTTTTTACTGAGAGGCTCAGGGATTGAATTTCGTGGGTAAGGCTTCAAAAATGAAAAGCAGTTGCTGCTGATCTTCGTGATAGCGACATCCAGTAGCAGATCCAGTTCGTCGCAATTCAATCTGTGAGACTCGCTGTGAATCGTTTAAGCGTATTCCGCTCTACCATTTACATCCTCATAGTACCTGGTAAATGTCTCTTTGCTCATCGTAGTTACTGATTCATGGTTCCGAGGCTCCCATGTCACTTCTACTGCGGACCCTCTTGGGCCACTCCAATACCGATGCCACGGACCGCCTATGGCGTTTCCGCCTTCTTCTCGTGTTTATAGGGCAGAAGCATGGGCCTAGATAGCACCACAATATTTGCTGATGCATTCCAAAGGGCAGCTGACTTTTATCACTGTCAGCTGCGTGTGCGTTGATTGCCATGGTCACCTGGAGTAGGTATGCTGCTTATTTTTGCCTGGTTTGAGTCGTAATCTCTATCACTGAAGAGATGTAGAGAAGGCTACGCCTTTAGACATTTTAAAATCAAATGCGTTATTCAATATACATTCGAAATGATGCACCTATCGACTACTGGAAAACTTGTTCATTTGGAGGAGTTTCGACGGTAACTGATTCCGCTACCAAAACAACAAGGAGCGTTTTCACTTCAAGACAAGGATTCCGCTTTGAATATATACATCGGTGCGAACTCCTTTTTGTTGAGCTTCTTCCTGGACATAATTCTGAGTGAAACCACTGGGAGCAAAACAGCAACAACAACAACTACTACTACTACTACAGCACACAACGACGTGTTTTCAACTTAAGGTTAATGTCGATGAAGATTTCAAGGAAATGAAAGTGTTTTAAAAACTATGTGTAGATCAATACAAACAATGGAGTTCTCGGATTTCACTTCAAGCTTTTCCCAAAATCTGACTCGACACGACATTCCGAAAAGAGCTTTTTCCCTTCGATTTGTATCTTTCCATTCGTCATCGCCAAGTGTTCAAAGATTTGCGTATACAATCGCTCATTACTTTACGGCTAAAGTATTCTTCATGAGTATCATTGAATCCTTGGTTGAATTTTGCAAAAATCTTCAGATGCATCAACATGAATGCTGAGACGTGAACAAATCTAAGAACCTCAGATGGTCTTCGAATCCGCATAACCCGTGCGGTATCCTCACTTGCAAGCCGCTTCACCAAAAAAGGCACGTGCGTCACCTTTCTCTTAGTTGCTACAGACACTAAATGATGGTCGCTACAACATCTGTGTTGTATAAGCTTACGCTTACGAAACTAAATTCAGAAAAACAATTCTGTATGCCAAAATAAGCTACCCCACGTGAACCCCATATGAGGGTAATGATGGCTATGAACATCGACTGGAGTCTGCATTTTGCAAATGTCTTGGCATCATCGTTTTGATCGTATTTCACGTAATACCCTTCCAGCCAACAGATCTCCCTCATATGAGGGATCCCGATAGCCGGCTAGTCGCGAGACTACGTAGCGCGTCCCCAGGTAGCGGATAGAGGGTTGATCACGGACCAAAAGCGCCCTTTACTTCCCTGATACGCAGCTGATCCCGGTGATGGAGTCCCTGTTTCTACCGCGCCGATTTGGCACATAGCTTGTGTATTTACGAGGCACGCGTGTGTGGGTGCGTTCAAGTTTATGCGGATTGCATTTTACGAGTCAATTCTGCCAAAAGCCCGCAACGAAGTGACAGGAAAGTATATGGAAGGCGGTCAGGAGTCGCCTCCAACAAATAAGCTCCATGTCCACACTGGGAAAACTTGGCAAGCTACCCGTGAGTATAAATAGTCCTCATGTTCAGAACCCAGTAAGCTTTACGTGGGTATCAAAAAGCTAAAAACAGTTAAAGAAATGGGTCACATTCCCCTGACCTCGAATGAGCCCCAAATTCGGCAGCATTGGGTAGGACGAGTACGGAGAGACTGCTTAAATCTCACGGCCAATGAAAGCTGCCTGGATCACGAAGAACTAAGGTGATGATCTGTACCTACAATGCGCGTACACTTGCACGTACTCCGAAACGTCGGCTTGCTCGTAAATAAAGGAATAAAGTAACACCTTGTATTTGCTCAACAAGAATAGAGAGAATATTTCGTTTTATTGACAAAACAGAAAGATAAGAGCCAACGAGAAAATTGCGCCTATTCGATTTGGGATACCGTTAAAAACAGTACGGAGGTGGAATACGTTATTTATAATATTTTTTTTACTAAGAGGGTTAGGGATTGAATTTCGTGGATAAGGCTTCAAAGTGGAAAGCAGTTGCTACTGATCGTCGTGATAACGACAACGAGTAGCAGATCCAGTTCGTCGCAATTCAATCTGTGAGTCTCGATTTGAGTCGTTTAAGCGTATTCAACTCTACCATCTACATCCTCATAGTGCCTGGGAAGTGTCTCTTTGTTTATTATACCTACTGGTTCTTATTAGTTACATGGATCCGAGACTCCCAGGTCACTTTTGCTGCGGATCCTCTCGAGCCACTCCGGTACCCATACCACTGGTGCTCTGCGATGGTATCGGCTGCTGCTCGTATTAATTCGCCACGATCATTCGCGCAGATTTCACCACAATATTTGGTGATGGGCCGCAATAGGCAGTTCAGTGTTAAAGTTGCCGTCAGCTGCGGCCACGTCGTTTGCCATGATCACCGGGAGCAGATATGCCTAGTATTGCTGCCGGGTCAGAGAAGGCTACGCCTTTGGACGTTTTAAAATCAAATGCGTTATTCGACGGTAACTGATTTCGCAACCGAAAGAACACGGAGTGTTTTCACATCCACGCAAGATTTCGGTTTGTATATGTACATCGTATATGTATATGTACATGTGCCAGATCGTTTTTATTGAACTTCTCCTCGACGTGATTTTGAGTGAAGCCACTGAGAGCTAAAAAATAACAACAAGGTCGACAATAACAGAAGCAAACAACGGCGTATTTTCAATTAATGTTAATGCCGATAAAGGTTTCCAGGCAATGGAAGTATTTGAAAAATGTCGCTTACGTTACTTTTACAAGACATAGACAATACGAGAATAATGACCCTTTTAGTTTCGAACCAATATACTATAATATACGAACCAATATAACCAATATAATATACCAACTCATAGTCAATTTTATATTTTGTAATGAAAAACGCAGTGGTAAGAGGCGCCCTGCGACCCACACGTGGAATCGGTCCCCGCACCCACGGCCCATCAAGCTTTCTATTACTCCGGAGTCACCAACTTCGTACCAGACTTGTCTGGGAGGATAACAGCACTGGCTCGATGCATCGGTAGGCCACCACGAGCCATTGTAAAGGCCAGATATGCATTCAATCATCTCCAACGATGCTTAATGAGGTCGAATGCACGGCTCATCCCTAAGGGATTGATCAACGCCGAAAGTTTTACCTTTTTAAAAAAAAACTAAAACGCTGCAATCTGTAGATCTCTCTATACAAAAGAGTTTATTTGAAATTGTGACTTTGTGAAACCTATGAAACGCTTTTTCTTTCCTCTCTTCGCCGAGGGTCAAATTTCGAAAATGAATGAAATGATACAAGTGGTGATTCCACCAGGTAGACCACGATGATGGTCCCAGTGCATTGTTGGCTTTTGCAGATAAGATTGCATGGGACATCTGAGAAATGTCTTGATGTCTCTTCAACTGTTCGTTTTGTACAAAAGAGTGATGCCTCATCTGAACAGTGCTCCACTGAACAAGATTCCACTTGACACAACTACAAAGACACCACATCGAAAAAGGGACTGAAGAGGTGGACTCGGACCATCGGCTCTAAGAAAGGCGGAGACGTATGAACGTTAGCCGAATAAAATTTTGCGACAACCTCGTGTTAGCTTATCAATGAAAGAAGGTAAATCAAGGCTGCTTCAAGAGAATTACACAAACTCTTTAGGCCATAGAACACGCTCTCTTATCAGTTTATAGCGTTCCAAGCTCTTCTATTTTTATATCAACGAAGAAATTATCGCGTTTTCGAAAAATCGGCTGTGTCGAGTAAGGGCCAATGACCGCACTTTTTAACTGAAGTACGCTATTCCTTTGCATGTAATCAGCTTGCGGTAATTGCTTTGTACAGTCATTAATTTATCGAGTTAATTTTTGAACCTTTGCAGTGGATACGGTTGTTCAATAGATTTATGAGATGGTACAAATCGATATGGACTTGAACACTTGCTTTTCTACAGAAAGGCGAATAAGCTAGCAATGTGTAAACCATTAATTTGCTTATGACAACCAATAAACCTTTATCAATCGATAGCTGTGTATGTCGACCGTATTATAGTAACCCGTGGAAAATTGTTATTGAACGCTATGCAAAAAATAAGTAAAATGCATTTACAAAAAGACCAAGGAAACAGAATAAGAATAGTCATCCAGACCAGCATGAGGGAATAATTGGTACAAGGCTGTACCCGATTCGTGACATCGCGTACTAACAGCTGATAGTTATTGCACTGTCTCCATAATTCTTACTATTACTTAAGATAACCTCTTATATTTACTAGGCATTGCATGGAAAGTGGTAAACTATAATCTAGCAATGGTTGCTGACGGAAGCATCAGTGTGTTGAGTAGCTGGCGAGCCTCATCATGGTCAGGTCGCAGGTGAACAGCTGCACGTGCGTGAACCTTCGCTCGTTCGAGATCTTGAAGGTCAAAATGACATTTCGCTTGAAGAAGAAGACTCTAAAACGATGCCAGTTTACTCAGAACCACAACAGAATCGGAAAAGGACAAAAACTTGTCTTTGAAAGGATTTATTGCATTTTCACTGGGGAAAGATAGGAAACGCAAACAGCATAACTATTGTACTGTTGCAATATAGCAATTGTTACGAAGTTCTAAACAAATACTAAAACAAAGTAAGCAAACTTCAAAAACGTCCAAAACTACAATTATGATGTCAAAAAAATTAGAAAAAAATCGGCTTCAGAAAGAAGAAACGAAAAGGACTTTGGATGCACGTCTAGCTATTTTCATCTGTCATTCTAACAACCATTCATTAAGAACCTTTTCTACACTGTAGAATGATTTTGGCCTACTCGCAGATTCGGAACAAAGCATTAAATTTTTCATTACGGCTACAAATAGAGAACGAATAACAAACCTCGAAGCGAACACGCTCGCAGGCATCCGCCTCAATGAACGAACACACTTCAATCGCCTGTAGCGTTCGTCCCTGTCGTCGGAGCACTCTCGCCATAGACACCATGATTTGTAGACGAACTTTCGTCAGACCACTATGGATGTCTGAATACTACGAACAATGCGGATGATACCAAAAGACAATGAAGCGCCATTATTCAAGCACAATTCCTCGTAGTTCTGCGTTAACATAGCATCGCACTTCCAGCGCAGGTTATGGCACGCAGCATCATGAGATTGCGCTTACATTGGTCATAAATCAGCGTATTAAACAAGAAAATTGCATTTTACTACGATCATATCCTCTCACCTTGCAGCTTCTGGTTGTCCAGACAAAGTTCACACTTATTTAACGCGTAGTGAAGGCGATGCATTGCATCTTCAAATCTCTTTTTCCTAAAAAAATGTGGTGAGCTCGGAAAAAGAAACTAGTCACAGACTCAACATGGACAACAATCTTTACTCGAAAGTTATTCTAAAGCTCCTTAATAATCCCAAAATGATCTGATACATTACATCATACGATACATATACCGTAATATCAACCACATGATGATAAGACCCGAGCGAAACTCTGAACGTGGGCTTCGAATCCGCCCTTTCCCTTTCCGGGGCTTACGTGTTATCGACTGCACCGCTGAGGCCCTTCCTATGCATTTCTCTCCGCCGGTCTTTTATCCTAACGGTGCTATCAGCAATCACCCATCAACGGGAATGATCTGAGGAGCACAAGTCCGCATTGGATCCACCATGCCAAGTATGATCCGTAATACAACCCCAAATATGCTGAGATGTGAGTACGCTTGCATGAAAAAAGAATGGGCAATGAATAAAAAGTGAGAGATAGCAGTAACATTCGAATCGTTTTCCGGTTATTATTACCTGAAATTTTTCTATATGTTTCGATGATAGAGTAGAGGAAACGAAAATTATTGACTGTATTTCTGTGACAGGGAAGTAGAAAGCGCGGTGTTTACGATTGTGCTCGATAATACATACAGACGCATTGGTTCGAATCTGCATTATAACTCAGCCCCTTATCCATCGTTCGGATAATTGGTTCCATGCTTGTACTGATAAACTCGTTATCAACTATTATTTACAAGCGCTGGTGAGTACTTATGGTGAAGACCTGGATACTAACCGAAAGTTAGAACTCCGCTCAATACGTGGTGTTAGATCATATAGTAAATAGGTAAACAAGCAAACATTCCTATGGCAACGACGATTTTCGACTTGAAACTCTCCCGCGACTAGGCCAACCTTGGTGGCTGCGATGTGGGGCTACAACAATGCTTTAGCGGCGCCAGATGTGCATTGCATGAACGCGAACCTTCGGCTAAGTGTTCTCTGTCGAATCAACACACTTCTCTAAAAGACAGTTTCCGCAAATGATAAACAGTACAAAACATGTTGTCCCTAGCAACGCATGATGCAGTGTCCGTGGTGGGGAAGCTACTGGTTATACACAAAAAGTGAAGCGAAAACAATGAACAGGAAAAGCAACAGGCAAAAACCGAATGCATTGATGGGAACAATCATGGGCCCTACACGTCTTCGAATCCTCCCATTAAAACTATAATTTCAGTGATACCATGTGAAGTAGATCATAAATTTAGCTCATCCTGCTCAGCGAATTCATTTTGCAGTTGTAGCTTTCAAGTCAATTACCTATTCACAACAGCATAAATATTTCAGCTCCCAAAATTCCGCCATCTTGATTTTCGTGGCGGCCTCTTAACATAAGCTAATAAACATTGGCTACATGGCCTTAGGCTATAACTCTTCTCGATTCCATTTTTATTTCGCTTTTTTCTACATATCCTTTGTGGGCTAAACGGGCAGAAAGTCGTTACGTAAAATAGGTTTTAACAATGTGACTTTTTTGTTTCCACTGATCCAAACTGACCGGAAAAGTATGCCGGCGTCGTCCAAAAGTTTTGATAGAAGGATGAAAGTCACCTCAGGAAACGATTCCATGGCTGTCAACCAGGTTGAAGTTCGTAACCGAGCACCTCTAGAATAACTCATTTACACTAAGAGCAATTTATCATAATGAACAGTGATTATTTCAAGGACCTTAATTCTCATACAACGACCACTGCACCACCATACAACTTTGTCAAAACTAAAATAAAAAGTATTGGTAATGTAACTAGATAAACAGCCTAACCAGTAAATGGAGTCATCTCCGATGAATGTTCCTCGTAATTCATTTATTGGTAAAGCTACCAACTTCACTTTGATATTAAGCTTCTACGTCCACATAACTACTACTGATAGATGAACTGAGATAGAAACTTTTACCGAAAGTGAGCGAACGATTAACAGAAAATGTACCTGGTAAGAAGAGACTCAAGAGCATCTCTATTCTGGCGCAATATAGCGATCTGAATAGGATACAGCCCGTCGTTGTCGCGATCTTCAATTGGCATACCGCATTCCAGCAGTCGATCAACTACTAATCGAGAAGCCGATGAGCATGCGATGTGCGCCAATGTCCTTCCTAAAAAACTAGTGCTTGCATGTGAAGTAACCATTCAGAATAGAATGAACATACCGTCCTCATCTTTAACGCTGGATTTTGCGTTCTTATCTAGCAGAAGTTGTACGGATGGTAGATGATTTTTACTGACAGCATGCATTAGAGCCGACCATCCACGGTTATCCTGTTGATCAATTTTCGCACCTGAACAGGATCGATCAACGTGAGAAATAAAATGCCCGGTTCTAAACACAATTAGGAAAGTGAGTGCGAGGGCTCTTAACAAAGGGAATGGATTATAAAAAAACCTTAAACAAACATCTGTTACTCACAATTTATTTTCACAGATTAGTGGGCCACAAATCAGCTGGAAAAGTGGAAAACAGGGCTAAGCCGACAACGAATGGAAACAGCCTGGTGATTATTCTTATGGTGAATAACTCCATCCATTCGCTCATGTAATTCACATGGCATCACTTTTGTCAGGTGAAAAATATGCTGTTTATGGAAAACCTATTGAAAATTGCTATTCAGACCTTTATTCAACAGCAGGTCGATCAGTCCCACATGCATACAACGTGCAGCGGCGATAATCGGCGTCCTGCCAAACGCGTCCTTGCATTCGATGTTGCACTTCGCTTGGGACAAAACCGCAACCACAAAATCCCAACTGCCACTCTCCACCGCACAGATGAGTGCTGGACGTTCTGCTGGCCATGGAAGACTCGACAGCGATACACCACTAAACATACAAAAAACTCTATAAAGAAACACCAGTTGTCACCCACCACGAGCTGGATTCGCCTGCTTATTTACTTGCTCGCTTGGCGCTCGAGTATAAACGATTAGCCCGGATAATCTCACCGTGAAAGGAAGAACTGCACGGTGTCGGCACGGCCTTGTTCACAAGCTGCACACATAGCTTTAGCTAAATCATTCAACCCATAGGAGTCGATCAATAGTTCGCAGACCTTCGTTTGACCTAGAACGAAAAGAACCATTGCTTTCTATGCCCATAGAATGACACGCTTAACTTAATGAAATCACTGAATTCTAGGGTCTAATACATTAGAACAGAGCAATAGAATGAAAGAAAAAAGACGGATAAAGAGATATCTGGATAAAATAGAAATTATCAAAAATCATTTCATACCAGCTCCGGCAGCAACAATCAGTGCACTCTCTATGGCTGTAATTCTCTTGTTTGCGTTATTCCAGTTCTGAGCTAATAAATATCGAATTACCTGAGAAAACGCGTTAAGAAGACTTTGGGTCGATAATGGTCATGGTAAGAGGTTACCTACCTTCCTATGACCATTTCGAGCACCTTCAACCAAAGCGGCCTCAATTGCCAACGTATTGTCTAGCGGAAACAACAGTGGCAGCAGTTCAATATGACCAAATTTTGCAGCGATTGTTAGCGCTGACTCTCCTAGAACTATGAGGATAACTTGACAGAACAATTAACCTTCGGTGTAAACTCTCCTTGATAAATTTTGTGTCGACGATAAAGGAACTATAATAAGACAAAATCTATAGACACGTGAAATCTCATTTCTTGACAATAATACGTATGTGGAAAACTCTTCCGCCTTCGTGGTGGAGGAAGAAAATCAAAATCAGGACGTACGGCTTCCCTGCCAGATAATTCACTTTGTATACCTGTCACCACTAATACAAGAAATTCATTAACGCTTTGATGTTCCTTCCATCGGTTTATTGTATTGGGGTTAGCGTTATAGAAACAGTCGTATTTAACTGGGTCGTAATTCAACCTTCCAATACAACAATGGTCAACCAACATTTGCAAGAAGCTATAAACAGCTTAACAAATCAACCCATAACTGGACAATTTCTGTAGAATTGGAAATAAGGTACGATAGAAAACATTTCTGACCCTACAGAATCGAAGAATCATGAAGAGCTGTCACCTTGTGGTTGATGGACAATGCCACCGTTGCTGAGAAACAACGAGACCAGATGTGCATTGCCAGCCGCCACAGCTTCTTGCATAACGGTAAGAGTCGACGACGAATCGAAAGCGTTCACATCGGCGCCAGCCATCAAAAGAAGTTGTGTCACCTGTAAGGTGACCTGGTTCCACATCATTATTTAGAAAACATACAATCCATATGGCACAGAATGAAAGTATTAAAAACACCTTGACTACAGTATGGTCACTACGGTTCTATTTTAATGTTACTCAACTCCATCCCGTAAACCACAGGCATATAAATAAGAATTAATGCTTGCGGCCTTTTTCCAACTACTGAAAAATGACGTCCAACATCTAGAGGTGACAATGACAAAAGAAGTTACACAATGACTTCAGTTCAAAGCCTTCAATTCAACATGAAACCTTATCTACATCAAATAAAGACATTAAACAATTAGAACTGATTTCGCAATTATCTGATATGAAAATACCGACTTTCTATAAACTACGGCATAGGACGCATTATGTGTAACAGTTGCCGCAAAATTCGGTGGATTGCATGGTATTAATAAAGATCCAGCATATGAAAAAACGCAAAATTTCAAAAACCACCCACGTTGCTGCTGGATCACTCATGTGTTGTTCACGAGGGATGGTGATTGAGAACCATCCATAGAAATTTGCATCAGAAACTTATTCTAAGATAAGGTGCGATATCGTGTCTGACAGTGAGGTATTCGTCTTTCCGTCTTCTGAAATTTATCCAAAACGCCCCACGAGTTTTGCGTCAAAATCACTTCAAAATCGTCACCACTGTGCATTTGTCCCTTGTGTGTAGCCAGAGGAGTATTTTGTCAAATTTTAGCTTTTCCATCTAGATGTTTTTTATGCAGACAGAAAGTGACCTACTCGTTCCCCCTAGGTATTCTTCACTGCATGCCTTACATGGGACCAAGTATATTGTACTTGAACTCATGCAGTCCTCGTCCCTCCCGCTAGGACAGACTGCACAATTTCCTGAGGTGCTTAAACGATCTTAGAGGCTGTTGCCCCATCCAACGGCGTAGGGTGTTGGGTGTGAGGCCAATAACTGCCGCATAACTTTCAAGACCACTTAGTCTAAGGCACTTCTTTATGGCGTAACTTAATTCGTTTGAAACGAAGAATATATTGAAAGGAATCTTGTTTAGGTTTGGAACATTATCTTGGGGAAAAAACTCCCTTTTAGTCCGACCCGAGTGGCTTCTGCTTCGTATTCATTGGAAATGACCATTTTTCGTGCCAAATTTAGCGACTCCTTCTCTTCCTTTTCTCCTGTGGACACATTTTTAGCTGTTCGGTACATGCTTTTGATGGGAGATTTTTCATCTGTGAAGGATGAGAAAACTAGCGTGTTTTTATGACTAGGAAAACATCGCTAAGCTTGACACGAAAAATAGCCGTTTCTCATGGCCAAAAAGCTAGGGTTATTACGCAAAATAATGTTTCGAACCTAAGTAGGGTCCCTTTCAATTTACCCTTCATTTCAAACGAATTAAATTACGCCATAAAGAGGTGCCTTGGAAGAAGTGGTCTTGGAAGTTATGTGGCCGTTATTGACCTCCCACCCAACATCCTAAGCCGTCAGTTAGCTCGGAACTGCCTCTGTGATCGTTGGTGAAGCTCAGAAAACTGTGTGATCTGTCCTAGCGGAAGATATGAGGATTACACGAATTCAGGTACAATATTTGATGTCATGTAAGGCATGTGGCGAAGAGTACGTGAGGGAAATGGGTAGACCACTTTGTGTCGGCATAAAAGAATATCTAGATGGGAAAGTTAAAATTCGTCAAAGCACTCCTCTAGATACTCGAAGAACACAAAAGCACAGTGGCTATGGTTTTGAAGTGACTGTGCGGATCCTAGCGTAGGAATCGAAAACATCAACGCGCAAAACTTTTGGGACGTTTTGAATAAATTGCAAACATAAAGAGATGAAACGCAACGAAAAATGCCTCCCTGTCACACACGATATGGCACCTTATCACGAAATGGTTTCTTGATGAACATCCTCATGGGTAGGTCTCACTCGTCATTCGTCGTGAACAACATACGGGTGGTTCAACAGCACAGTGGGTAGTTCTCAAAAATTGGCGTCTATACATATGTTGGATCATCATTAATAGTATAGGGTTCACCGGATTATGGAGCTACTGCTACATATGGTACATCCAGATTTTGAGGAAGGCGAAGTCTCCGAAACGTCGTCTACTGAACAACGACAGCAACAACAACAATAAGAACATCTACACCACCCTTGTGTGAGCTGAAGAATGGCGGTTCGTAAAAGCATATATGTAGATATATTTGATGCCATCTACTGCACTTCAACCACCTCAAATGCCAATGACGAAGGAACAAATCACCTTTGTATTTGGAAAGAACATGTTTCTATGATTGAGAAGTGCTTTTCCGATATCTTTCGAGCAACGCTTAATCCAGTGAATCTGCCCGTCCTTTGAAGAGGTGAACTAGAAAGAACAAATATAGTTTGTATAAAAAGATGTTGGAGATAAACCAGTAATGAAAACCTCAGGGATATATTTTCCATGCATATACTTGTACGGATGTGCTTTGAGAAGATGATGGGACAATTCGAAAAGTCGAATCGAATCCAACGGAGCGCTTTCAGTCAGATGAAGAGCTAGGAGTATATGACCGTGCCTGAAAGATGAATCGAACAATTACAAAACTAACAAGTACTTTTACGCGAGAACGTCGAAGTAACAACTAGTAACTATACTCTGACATGAGTATAACGTCGTGGTTAGAAATTTGCGTAAAAAAGACCTGAAACAGGGAATATTCGAAGAAAAAGAAGATGAAGAAATTTCGAAGGCTGCGAGAAAACCCTCCTTAAGGCTCTTTCTACTCGACATAATAGTTGAACTTATATTGTCAGAATAACACAGACAGAGAGACACACACAGAGTTCAAGAGACTCATATTCGTCTGTGTTGTCGAACATTTGGGAATATTTCCCTCAAAGGAGCAAAAAAACAACCCATTAATAGTTAGTTAAAATGTAGGTATTTGAATCCCTTCATAGACGCGAAGACATAAAGGATTAGTGCGGTTTATGCATTATAGCTAAAAAGCAACTAAAGAAACAACATAAGGAACTGAGTGCCATTGATTTAACAACTTTCATTTCAACGCTAAAGCACTGAAAAGTGTAAAAGCTCCTAGCTTTTACTTTTATAAGAAAACATTCTTATGGAGAAGACTCTACCGACGCTACCTGTAAACAGTGAAGCAAATACCTGGCATCTGAACACAATTTCGGATGATTGGCGTTTGTCAGAAGCCAATCTCTTAGCGCTGTATTGTGGAGCGTAATAGAGCCACAGCTAGCAAATGAGAGAAGGGGTGAGAGAATCGTAAGGCTGAAATGGAATATACAATGAACGCCATGTGACAAGAGCTCCAGAAAACTCAGAACATGGATCGAGCGAACTTGAGAAGGAAAACGAAATGGGATTACGTCTTAGCTCATGAGAATAGAACAAAATTATTCGTTTCGATCTATGTTCGGTGTAAATAATGACATATTTACGGTTCTATTTATTTAAGACGAATTTGTAGAATGAAATCAAAGCGAAGTTTCAACGATCGTTCACAGAAAAGTTCCCGATTTTGACGTATTAATGGTACACCGGTATGGGTATTTCCACTAAGTTTCTCAAAACTTCTCGCGACAACAAAACACATTCAAAATGGCGATAAATTGTGCAAATTTTGTTACCGGGGTGTAGTTCAAGTAATACGAAGCCAAAAATATGCGAATGAAAACAAAAAGGAAGAAAACAGATGAGAATGAAAAACGAATGCTCACATTTTTTCCAGTTCCACTTCCGTCACTGACACATCCGAATTCGGCGAGTTCAGCACGGCCAACAGTTCCGACCTGTCCAGAGGTCGAAGCGCGGCCAGCAGGATGTTCAACACCGGTACCACACGGGCGAACATACTGGGCAAACTACAAAGAGAAGGACTAGGTACTAGCAGAACTGTCAAATCCTATTCACTAAAATTTGTTGTTTCAATGAGAAGAGTTTATTTTCAAGAAAACTTTGACAACTTACAAAGGATAAGCTTTATATTTGTGAAAAGTCACGAGTAAATGAAGTGACCAAGTCGTTATTTTCAACGTAAGTAGATGTCGACAAGTAAGAAAGAAAATGAACAATGAACAAACGTGAGAGATCGAACAATCTCAGAACAGACATTGGCACGTAAGCCATCAGAATTTATGTGAATTGTTTCGGACTGAGCCCGGAACACTTAAAGAAAAACTTCCTTCCGTATTTTTTAAATTTTTTTTTGTATTATACATCGTCGAGTTTGCACGCCTGTGAAGTATGTGATACACCAAATATTAGTGTTTAACCCTTCGTTTATCCCCTCACTGAAAATTTGAACACCAATGAACCCTTTTTTCGATACTATAGAAAATAACGGCAGCGTGTAGCACAGTGGTTATAGGTGCAATGTAATACACATGTGGCCTTTGGACTGATCGCATCCCCGGGCTCACCAGCCGCTGCATCCATACAGTAGGCGAAACTATGCAGGATTTGGCTGGAATGATAGCTGTGCTGACTTTAGACAACGGCAGGTCACTACGAGGCATTCTATGGACCAGATATTCACTTAGTCCTCTCCTACTATGCATAATAAATTCATATGCATCTGTAAGAAAAAGAACATCCCACTAAGCAGCTTTACCAAGAACTTTTTTGTTCACACGCAAAATAGAAAGACAGTAGAAATGAAGGACATAAAACCAAAAGTCTTATGTTCGTCGTGTTCATCCAACAAGCGGAACAGCAGCTCGGAAATGATGGCAAGAGATGGATGGATGTGAACCTCCCCCGAACTCATTCGAGTCAACTGATAATTGGCGAGATTACGGCTGACAGGGAAGGTGTCACAGCATAAGGCTACACCATACGGGCTTTAGTGAGTAAATAGAAAGTATCATAACCATAAATGTAAGTTTAAGTGTTTCCGTAAAATTTATGTTTCTACGAATGGTTTTCCCTACGTCAAAGAGACTATTTCTCCATATTCTCACATATTCTTTACATCGACTATATAGTGTTCGCAATGCTTTGCCGTTTGTCATATGTTACGACGGTGCTTTTCTCGTCTCCATTCCTATGAATTTGCTAGGCCATCGTCGATATTGGTACTGTAATACACTTTTAGGGCGCGCATGGCGCAGTGGTTGGAGACGCCACAGCGACACACACGTGGAATCGATCTCCGCACTCATGGCTCACCAAGCCTTCCATTTCTCCGGAGTCAGCAAATTGGTACCAAACTTGTTTGGGAGGATAGCGGCACTGGCTCGATCCATCGGTAGGCCACCGTGAGTCATTGTAAAGGTCAGATATGCATTCAATCACCTCCAACGATACTTAATGAAGTCGAATGTGTGGCGCATCCCTCAGGGATTCATCAACGCCGAGAGATTTATCCTTTATTATTAATACACTTTTGCTACTTCCACATGTTCGTTCAGTACATATCCACCTAAGCACCTCTTAGTTATACAGTTCTTTAAACTTCTTATTCTTCAAAATTTCTTAACGCTCTACTACATTTCTCTAATTTTATTAGAATCCAAGCATTGGCAGTTTTACTGCTTAGCGAATCTGCACTGCTTCTGGATTCTTTTGATCCTCGCCTATGTACTCTGTCCCCATTCTGTGATCTTCCAGTAGATTCCGAAAATATGGCAAGATCGACTAACTATGACCATTACTTAATGGTCCTATATGTGAAAGCATTTCTTATTTAAGCTCCTCCATCACATTCTCATCCATCATAGCTGACCTTAAAATACGTTAGCCACCCATCACCAGGCCTGACTTATACATAACCAACGCTGCTCTCTTTCTTACAGTTGGTTTTAGCACTGATCCTCGACCGTATAAGCGAGAACGTTGGCCTCGATGTGTTTTTTTCTTGGCTTTTCGCCACAGGGAGAGGGAGTGCTGATAGCGGCAGGCAGCAAGCAGCGGCCGAAACAGCACGGAAAATGTTTGACCACTTTTGTGAACAGTAAATGCGTGGAAAACGAGTAGCATACAAGAACTTGGATCCGTACAGTACATGTGGTGAGGGGTCATGGAAATGAAATAAAGCACAATAATTATTTTCGTTACAGAAACGTCTATGAACCAAACATGGAAATATCAACATGGAACGTCAATGTCCCACGTGGCAACAGCACAACTTGCCGTTGTTGTCGCCATGATGCGCATCACCCTATGTGGAACCTCCGCCCTTACATATCGCCATACGGTGGGCGAGGCTTGTCAGCACTTCGAAACCGCTTGTGTCGAGAAGAAGACAATAGACCCCAAAGGGCACACGGACATGTTGAGGATGACAGTAGTCCGCGAATACAACAAAAAATCGATGCCTTCCATACGACATAAGAGGGTCTAGAAGTGTTCTGGAATATCAATAAATGAATCCAATGGCGGTATTACGCACTGAGTGCAATGCATACATAAGGTACGGTGAAGGGAGAAAAAAATAGACGACGTGCGTTGATTTCAGTGCATTTTTTTCGGCTATACTTCTAGTATTCAATTGACAGTTTTCTCATCATGGATGTTGCGCCAGGTACCGGCTAATAAAAGTTACTTCACACACATAATTCACAAAAGAGGAAGTTTTTAACGAAACTTTGTCCTGTCAAGGGCACTATTGTTGTTGAAGATGCTGAGATATCCCCGATAATGGAGTGTCTCTTCTACACTGCACAAATACAAATGTATGAGCCCTGAAGCGCTTTCATCCTCTTGTTTTCGTAATATAACTGAGCTACTGTTGCTCATAAGGAAACCACTTAGTGTTCTTTCCCTGAAAAGGAGGCGCCCGTTTTTTTTCAATGCGGCCTAGGCACGAATATTTTAAAACCATCAAATGGGATTTAGGAGAACAACTATTGAAGGCGAGGAGGTCCCTAATGCATTTTATAAAATCAATGCCAACCATGGCAATACGTGATCCAAGTGGAATGGGAAGGCTATTTAGTAATATTTACATTTGAAATGTCACTGCTTTATAGGAACAATATGTAGCCAATGTAGGAGATGGACTAGAACGAGACAGAACATATTCTCTACAGCTTGGTGTGAATACCGTTCGCATCACTCTAATACATCTAAGTGATAACTGCAGCCTCAGCTTCCTCAGGGTTCGTTGCCGATTTGGACTCACCAGATCAAACCCGTTTACGGGTGGTTGCTGATGGCAAGTGATCGATAGAACTAGCTGAGAGATAGGCGAAACGAATGACCCGCATGGTGTGGTGGTGAACGCGTTACTCCCCAGAAAGGAGAATAGCGTGTTCGTTCCCCACCACAGACACCTGCGCTCCGGAGTTTTGCAAATATCTCAACGAAATACTGATGGTTTGGAGTTTTTAGATAAAGCTTATCACCCTTTACGTTGATACTAGCTGGTCAATTGTGTTTTAAAGCAGTAGAAAATTTGTTCTGCTCAGTTTAGCCCCATAGGTCTCTCTAAGTGTTGCAGAGTGGTTAAAAAGTGTGGAAGGAGACTTACGTGAATGTAAGATCCATTATTAGTCCATACAAGTTGACGTCTCCAGTGGGTAGATTTGATTGTGTCAGATATCTCAGCGACAACTGGCCGTTCTCAACAAGCCTGAAAAAGCATATTCAAGAACTTATTTTCTCAGAACCTTCGTCTAAATCTGAATTCAATCTTTCTTGTGCACTAGGAAAACAAGTTCTGCCTAATTCTGATGAAAGCAGCAATAAGACTGCATTTTTAAGATGATGTGAAACAAACTATAAAGCAGATCTGAAGCTTAATAAGAGAAGTACACAATTCAGTACTCGTTTCGAAGGACTCCGCAAATATTTCCGTTTTTCCGAAATGTTTGCCGGACATTTTCAATCAGTATTTACATACTTACTTAGTACTTGAACGGCCCGTCCTCACTGGTTTTGCGGGCCCCAGCATAACCACCATTTTTCGGAGATTTACTGGTTAAGCCATTGTGGTTCCCTGGAATCCCGAGGTCAACCTGACCAAAACCTGCCCTAGGTCTTCACCACCAAGGGCCGCAGCTTTTGTGGATCAGAGGGAGATTTTCCACTATGCGACTTTGATACCAGGACGGTGGCGGATACTGGCATTGGTTTCCTCCTAGCTAGGCCTCCTGATGGAAACGCCGGAATCCTCAACTTGGGAAAACCCTGCCGGAGGGACTAATCTCTCTGCTGTACATCGCAGTCCGACACCCAGGAACACCTCCCAGCCACGATGAGGCGGTAAACCGCTCGGAGGCAATCAGTGTTTAACTTTCTTAAACATTGATAAAAGTTTCAATAGAGAAAGGAAAGGTAGCGCTCCTTAATTTGAACGGAGAGAGCGAGTAGTAGTTTGAGAAAAAACTTGATTAGGGTGTTCAATTTGGCTCAAATTTGTTTGTGTCTCGAGTTTTTTTCGACACAATAAATGGATTTGTTCGCTTCTTTTACTATCAAAAAAGTAACAAGATGTGGCACAATTCGAACTGTATTCACTCGGAGCGACTGATCCGATCAGGTTGCATAGAAGTGCGTGAAGCGCAGAGGTCTGATCTGTAACATGCGCATGTTCGCTGGTTTGCCACCATGCACTGGGTAAGTCCTTCATCCCTTAGACGTTGACAACTTGGTGCCAAATCTGTTTTTAAGAATGAAACACTGGTGTGATGCATCAGTGTTTCATTCTTAAAGTTGGCGAGTTATTGTAAAGGTCAATTATTCACTACTTGCAATCGTGGCTAGAAAGTGTTCCTGGGTGTCCGGCTCCGAAGTATAGCGGGGATTTCATCCCCCTGGCAGTGTCCCCAAGCTAAGGAGTTTTGTGTTCTCATCAGAAAGCCTAGCTAAGAGAAAACCAATACCAGGATCCACTACCGTCCTGGCATCAAAGTCGCATGGTGGTAAATCTCTCTGATCCACAAAGGCTGCCAGTGCTTATGCTGGAGAAGACCTGAGGCAAACATTGGCCAGGGTAACCTCAGAATTCCAGGAAACCACAATGACATAAGCAGCATATCACCGAAAAGTGGAAATCATGCTGAGGTCCGCACAACCAGTGAGGACGGGCCGTTCAACTATCAAATAGTAAGTAATTGCTCATTAAATCACCTCTACGATGCTATGAATGGATTCGAATGCAAGATGTATCCCTAATGAAGTGATCGACTTCAAAGGCTCCATTCTTTTATTGGGTTACGTAATGGTAGGGTGACAATTGGTCAGTTTAATCTCTTCTTTTCTTCTTTGTAGAACTGCCGATGGGCTCATTCAGGGCAAACTACAGCAGTGACATTTCGACGCGAAAAGGTTTCAACCTTCTTCTACTCTCGTTGAAACTGGAAATACTAAAACCTCTTTTCCATTTAGACTAATTATAACTCTCAATAAAGGTCGTAAGCGGTTCGACACTTTATGACTTGATCTCTTCGGGGCCGGCGGCAGTTCATAATATTGGTTTACTCTTCGGTGAATATCACGACATAAAAGTCGAACTCCATCTCAGGTTAGGTGTTACTGCCACAGAAAGAATTCTTTCCTGCAGATGGCAGTTCGGCGACTACCACCTACTTGTCAAGGTGAAGCATAACACGTTTGAATTGCCTATCTTTTGAATAACCAGCATTTAATGCATTTGATGCGTCTACCACAACACGCGGATTTGCAGATTTCAGTTCATAAAGATTCAAAACGAAAGCGTAATTTTATGAATCCAGATCAAAGAAAGAAAATTACGCGTAATATTTTTATTGTGGTACAAACATCCTGGGAAAAATTATTAAGGCGGTATTAATTTCTCATCTCACTAGGTGATCTGCATCGCCGTTGCTACAGAATTATCAAAAGCGTTAATATGCTGTCTTACCGAAGAAGAAGCCGAATGTAAAGCATGCTTCCGTTCGCTGCGTATAGAATCCGATCAACCACGTCGCCGAATGGATCGATAATCGATCGACGGGCATTGGTCAGCAAGTGATTGTCCAGCTGTAAAGTGCATGTAATGGAAACATCGACGAAATTTACAGATTCTTAATGATAGTCCTAATCATAATTGACCCGAAGCCTTCCAATTTTTACGTGTGGCTTCGCCTGCTGTTTAAGTATTTCTATTTCATCTTGAATGTCGAAGAATGTTGGTTCAGTCGATTATCGCTGGAGTTCTGAGACAGCCGGGACGACGCGTTCCCAATTGGACGGTCGAGAGTAATTTTTTCCCGGACAAGTCCGGCACCAATTTCCCGACCACGGAGCGATGGAAGGCTTAGCGAGCCCGAAGTGAGATCAAACCTGCACCGCAATCGTGGTGACCGGCACCACTACCACTGCGCTATCCACCCCATAATTTCGCCACTAAAGCTCCAAAAAGGATAAAGCTTTCGGCTTTACTCAGTCCCTTAGAGATGCGCCATGCATTCGACTTCAATAAACATCGTTTAGAGGTGATTGAATGCATATTTGGCCTTTACAATGACCCGCGGTGGCCTACCGATCTATCGAGACAGTGCTGCTGTCCTCCCAGACAAGTCTGGTACCAATCTGTCGGACGTAGAGGGATGGAAGGTTTTGTGCGCCAGGGGAGCGGGAATCGATTCCATGCGTATTGCAGGATGCCTCCGACCACTGCGCTACACGCGCTACTGGGAAGGTAGCAGCAATAAATTGGCACATCCTTAGGCTCCTATAACTCATTATGTAGGTGGGATACCCATTCAGCCATCTCCAACAATGCTTGCGCGCCCATTTATTTTCACCATGAAACTACTATAAAATTTAAGATTGGTACAGATGGTGCATTCCGAAAAGTCAGTTAACACATTCGCCATCGTAAGGGTCAAATGTGATCTTTATTCGCGGTCCATCTTGCCATGCGTGTTTTTTACAATTTGCATCTGAAAGCTTTCATAACATCCTCAACACTCATTTTTCTAGGAGCATATCGATAAAAGCTATTTTCTTCACTTAACAATACGCAAAAAACTGTTTTCAGAGCAGAGAGACTGTCTTCGCTGAAGAGAGTAATAAAATGTCTCTTGCTGTAACGAAATGGTTAATTACCCAAGTTTGAGGCTGGTAGATCAACTACAACAACTAAAAGACCCGCGTGGCTAATATTCTACATCAATCTGAACCGCTACACTTCGCCGCTAACCATTTCGTTACACTTGCACTTGTGAACAGGAGTTCGATATTTGGAGACACCTTTTTTGCCGAGATAGTGCGATAAACTTGGGATTTCTTGTATAGTTTTTCTTTGCGGTAGATTATATTAGGAATCACCAACATCATTTACTAGGAGGTGGATAGCACAGTGGTAGTGATGTTCGTCAACACGAGCACGGTGCTAGTTCGATTCGGCTCCGGGCCAACGAAGCTTCTCATCCCTCCAGGGCCGGGAAATTGATACCAGAGTTCTCTGGGAAAAAAATCAGTCACTGCAATCCAATTGGGAACGCTCCAGCCCGGCTATCTGAGGACCCCAGTGAGAATCTACTCGATCAGCGTTCTATGACATTCAAGATGAAATGAAAATCCTCAAGCAGCAACCGAAGCCACACGTAAAACTTGGAAGACCTTCGTGGACAATGGATGCGAGGAAACGAATCGAATGTGAGAAGTGCTAGGATCCGCACAGTTGACGTGAAGACGGATCAAACAAAATGAAAAAATAAACAAAAAAGAGCATCATTACTGGAAGAAGAGGTGGGCGTTTACAAAATACGCTTTCATCAATGCGTTTCCACCTAATGTGTTTCCGGAAAATGGCATCAATTCTCAACTCTTATCATCTAAACCTCTCAGTGATGTTATAAACATTGCGCTAAAAAAACATCTATTTCTCTACTTCGAAATTTTTACACCTCACTTTTCCCACATTAAATTTACAACATTTAAAATGTGCAAACTTCAGAGTTGGCCTACATGCAGTTCTGATTCATCCGGTACTTATCATAGACCTGATATTTTGTTGGCTTATAACAGTTAACACTATGTCTTCATTTTTGTTACTCTGAGGTATGGAGCAAAACCCGCTATCAAGTTGCTTGTACCCACAAAGAGTTAATCTTAATTGTGAGCTGTCAAAAACTAGTGGTCCTGCTTGAGTTGGCGTAAAATCTTATGTTTTGCAGAACGAAAATTATACGAATGTTCCTGTGTCATTCTATTTGAGGACTATAACATCGGCACCATTGCGCTCTGAATTCAATTGTCTGTTTAGCCTCTGTTGAATCAACTGCATGGAAGCTCCTTCCCGTTTTTTTGTTGGTCCCAATCACAAGCGTATTTCTTTTGTTACCAGTTTCCAGACAAGTCATAAAAATAGCTAAAAATGTATTTGTTCAGTGTATTCGAGCAAAAACTATCAATAAGCTCTACAGTTACTACCATCGACGATGTGTGTGCGCAAGCTTGGGACGGGGTCGGTGACCCACACTTGACCTCTTCGCTTTCCGCAGACATAGCACCGTCTCTGGATGAAGGACGAGTTTCTGATCTTTTTCCAATTGTACACAATTAATGAAAATATTCCAAAAGCAAACGGCACCATATCATTGACACATTACAAATTTCTTTAACTAACAGTGAGGCACCTTAAAACAAATATTATATGCAAGAACAACGATATTGAGTTATTCGCAAAACCCAGACCCCAGGCTAGATTCTTCACTACTCTTTCCAGGTCCTCACATGTTACCTGCCGCACCACTGAAGCCCTTCCTTACTTCTTCTCGACCACCTTTTTACGCCGGCGATGAATGAACCCAGTTAATCTGAGGTTGCAGTCAAAATCGCAACGTATAACATTTTAACTTCAATGAAGCGGAGATATTGGCAAAACTCCGTACCGCAGGTGTCTGCGGTGGGGAACGAACACGCTATTTTCCTTTCCGGGGAGTAACGCGTTCACCACCACACCATGCGGGTCCTTCGTTTCGCCTGTCTCTCAGCTATTTCGAAGGACCCGCATGGTGTGATGGTGACCCCCGGAAAGGACAATAGCGCGTCCGTTCCCCACCATAGACACCTGCGGTCCAGAGTTATACAAAAACGATTAAGATTATAACATTTTACTTATTGCCTTTTCTTTATTCCATTCATTTACTGCCTATCATCTTTATGAAAAGCCAAAACAGTAGATTCCGTGGTGTAGTGGGTAACACATGAACCCTCGGAAAAGGTAATTGCGGATTTGATCTGGCCTGGGCTCAACTTCTGCAAATATCTCAGCATCATTGCAGTTGTATTTCGCATATTATTCTGCTAAGAAAAAATAATAGGAAACAAGTAAAAAGTTACGCACTAAAATATTACATAATTCTTAGTAAAATATTACCTCATGCACCATAGATAATCGATATTCAATGAGCATTCGACAGTCTTTAACGACCCTCTCGTCCAAAGTGACGTCATCTAAAATGGACTTGAACACAAAGCTGATAATTTGTAGCTTTAATGAAAGGGCCGATATAGGACTATATGAATCACCAAGCGTTTCGTTCAAATCTATTCAAATAATGAGTAATACACATTGCCTAAGAAAAAACTAGGAGCACCGTACCTATCCGAATACGTCGTGTCACGACACTGTCATAAATATTAGAGCTCTCTGGATCGCATGAAACAATAAACCGAATCCAAGTGGGTAAATGAGGTACCACACTGCAGATGAAAGTCGCTGGAATCGCTCGATGGTAGAAAACTGCTTGAGAAATGTTGGAGAAAGTTATTCTGAAAAAAGAGAACATACCAATCGATCTTCCGTCTTCACTTCTGTGAAACTCAGCGTCGTCTGAGCCATCGACAGCAATCACCAAACAACCCTTAAGAAAAACCATAGTGCACAAGCAGAAAACTCAGCCAAATCAAACTGGACCGAAATATCCTATTTATTGCATAGTTTTGGGAGCTGAGTAATAATGGAATATGTCTCGAAGTTTTAAAAGTATGGCCGTCGATTATTAGCCACTAATAAAAAGTAAGTTTTAATCAGAGAGATCTCGAGTAACATTCACTGGCTACTCGAGATCTTTCCAATCAATGATATTCGTTGATTGACGAGGATGACACAGCTGAAATGAGTATGATGGCCGGTCAAATGAAAGTGGTGAGAAGTTCAGTCAAATATAAGAGGCTGTACAAAGTAAGTTAAGTTGTTAACAAGTTCATAGGTCGTCTGCAATAATTCTCTGCATATTCTTAGAAGCAATTAAATCAATGAATGAAAGTAGTCCACGTGGTGACGCCGTAAAGACCGTCTAGTTGTTCACCATCGGTTGGCGATGCCGAGGAAATCTCCATGGGGCACACCAGTTTTCATTTATAATGTGTTAATGAATGTGCCGAAAATGTTTGAATCAAAGTAGAAGCGAAGCAAAACAGCCTTAATTTTCCTAGACACTACTAACTGACATAATGAGGCAAAACGAAGGACCCGCATGGTGTGGTGGTGAACGCGTTACTGGCCGGAAAGGACAATAGTGTGTTCGTTCCTCACCACAGATACCTGTGGTCCGGAGTTTTGCAAATATCTATCTCAGCATCACTGAAGCTATAGTACTGACGTAGTGAAACGAAGGGATTCCTACCTGATCCAAGCAGTTCAGCTGTAGTAGTGGATCGGCGATAGCTATGCGAAAGACGTGGAGAGCATCGTGCTTGATACATTCTTCCAAATTTAGAAGTTCTACCTTCTCTTTGTTCTTAAACAATCTTACTACTCACATAATACAAATAGTAGATTGAAAGTTGAAACTGATGGAAATTATCTTAAGATTCCTTGAAGAAATGAATCTGACAAGAGATAAATCCTCTGCCGAAGTTAACCCCATCTACTGAAATCCTCAGAACATCCAAAAGCTAGAATAATTTTTGACTAGTAAATACTTACCATGTTTTTTTTTAATAAGAAAATACCCTTACTTGCAACATTACAACTGACCTTCTTAAGAATGTCCGTGTAGCTTTTCAAGATGGGTGATCGTGATAGCCACGCTCCTATGTTACAGACCAACTCGGGAATCGAACATGAAGACGACTGAAACGTGATTGGTAGATTTTTATAACGATATTTTTAAAAAATTGGAAAAATAGAAAGGCGAAGACTAGTCAATGTTGGAAAATCTAACTCTAAATGCGTTTAACCTAAGCTAAGAGCAAGCTTCTCGATTCCCGAACAAAAAGCTAGTCACTTTGTATTCATACTACTTAGATGGTTTACGCTTTCGTACAAATACTATCCAGATCGAAGCTAAAATCCATTTGGAGTTTTAAGGATCTAAATTTTAAACTATTTCGAACAACTAAAGGGATAGAAAAGGACAAAGCTTGGCGTTGATCAATCCTTGAGGACGCGCCATGCATTCCATTTTACTAAGCATCGTTTGGAGGTGATTGAATGCATATCTGGCCTTTACACTGACTCTGGCCTCACGATGTATTGAGTCAGTGCTGCTATCCTCCTAGACAGGTCATCAACATGCCGACCCCGGAAGGATGGAGGGCTAGGTGGGCCATGAGTGCGTGGATCGATCCCATGCGTGTCTGACAGGGCGCCTCTGACCGCTGCGCTACACGCGCCCCTATTCATACAAATAATAACTCAATATTCCAGGTTATATCATTCTCATAGCTGTGCAGCAAATACTGATTGATTGCGGTCTTGAGATAATGAAGGAGAACTTACGCTTTGAATATTACAGATGTGAAACGCTACAAGACGAGCAGCAACCGCTCGCATCCATTCGTAGTTCCTTGAATTCCACATCGTTCCATCGTCGGCAACACAACCCGAATCGATGGTGTCGGAGGTCTGAAATCAATCAATAACGTCGCCGCATCCTTGACCACGGAGTCTGGCATATGACCCGCCTAAACTGGGCAAAAGAAAAAGAAGTTCGCTTGTTTAACTTTTTCACTACACTATAGTTTGTAACCTGTGTTATCGCTAGGCATCATGTCTGATGCTATGTTTAACCCATAACGCCCCGCTACCGTATTTCGTAGTTGGCACAACCGATCACGAGCAATTGTTAGTCGGCTGCGGACATTCTGGTTTATTGACAATAAAAAATATTTTCCAATAACTAGAGTAGTTTAAGGGTTGTGAATACGAAAGAAGTGTAGAAGAGACTTTGATCTATGGTTCTATATGAATGGGTATGAATGGTAGTATGCTACTACTTACCACGTGTTGAATAAAAAAAGGATAAAGCTGTCGGCGTTGATGCATGTCATCTTCCCTGAGTGAAGGCGGGGATGCGCCACGCATTCGAATCGTCGGAGGTGATTAAATGCATATTAAATGCTGGTCTTTACAATAACTGGCGGTGGCCTACCGATGTATCGTGCCAGTGCTGCTATCCTCCCAGACAAGTCTGGTACCAGTTTGCTGACCCTGGAGGGATGGAACGATTGGTGGCCCTTGGGTGCGGGGATCGATACCATGTGTAATGCATGGCGCCTTCGACCCCTGCGCTGTTGCGCGTTACTAATGTCAATTATGCAAAATCATTGCTGTCAGCAATTTGAAACATTTTGCATCCTATCTTGAGCCCATTTCGCTGTTTTTATATCCACACATTCCGCATGATGATCATAGTAATTAAAACGAAAGAACAATCGATCGTAAGTAAAATCACCGGTCAGGGAACTTTTTCGAAAAGAGAGATTTCAGCAAATTATTAAGTGTAGACAGTGTTTTTTCTGACCTCGTCCCTACTATTGCGATGTGCTTTCGACTAGCTACCGAATAAGCACACATAGTGCGGTAAAAAAACACTCTGGAACCCATTAAACTCAATATGGACACTATAGTATCCACGCAGGACGTTATATGCTAGCATATTCGCAACCGTGTCTAATCATCGTTGGTGGCGGCGTAGGAATGCGCCTAATTTTTCTCCGCTCGCACTACGAATCCTATGCGATTCGTGGCGTCTGTTGTGCTATCCCACTAATAGAAAGAAAGGTATTACTGGTTTTATCACCAGCAGTCTTTGTTTTACTCCACCTGTTGCTTTTTCTAACGTACAAAATAAGTATTATAAGACCACGCTCGGTATAACATCTAATTTTGCCTTAACGACGAATCGAAAAACGTTAGCGAAATAAACTACCGGAAAGAAAATAAGTAAGGGATGGTATAGTCACGTTTTTGGCGAATCAATAACTACCAGTAATAGACGGGTAGGGCGCGTGTGGCGCAGTTGTTGGAGGCGCCACTGTGACGAACACGTGGAATCGATCCACGCGTTCATGGCCCACCAAGCCTTCCATCTCTCCGGGGTCGGCAAATTGGTACCAGACTTGTCTGGGAAGATAGCAGCACTGACTCAATACATCGGGAGGCCACCGAGAGTCATTGTAAAGGCCAGATATGCATTCAATCACCTCCAAACGATGCTTAATGAAGTCGAATGCATGGCGCACCTCTCAGGGATTGATAAACGCCGAGAGCTTCATCCTTTATCCTTTAATGGGTTTTTAGTTCCTTGGTGTGTAATACTTCTTTTGTGTCTAGTATAATACGTTTGTAACAGGAGAAAAAAGCTAATTAAGTTTAAGGATACCTTTGTAGAATAAAAAGACGAATTGAGAACGAGTTGGTTAATGATTGTCGTTTTGCCAGATCCGCGACAACCTTCCACTATAGTCACTGGAATCTTATCCACTACAGCTGATTCGTAAATTTCACTAAAGGAAAACCATAACTCAGTATTTTCACGAGGTGTGAAAACGTTCACTTAATGCTAGACTGAAAGGTACGCAGTTTCCGTCTACATAGATGTCCGAAAGTACCTCATTCAGTTGTCCAATCAATACGTATTTCTTACGTTGCAAAGATTTTTAATGCACAAAAGGGAAAGCAGAGCAGCGTTTATGGCTACATTTTTGTAGAATGATGTTGTTACTATGCGAAAATAAGCGACAGCAAGCAGTAACGACGCAAGGAGGAAGATTTCCATAACTGGATTATAAAAGGATCTACCGAAAAAATTCAAAATAATAAAAAGAAATTGAAAACACCTACCGGAACGCCCATTCCCTACCGATGAATACATCTTCGAGATCGGTCTTGGAGAAGAACTGATCAAGATCGAAGAGTGGCTGAAGAGGTGACTCGATTACGAGTCGTTTAGATGCTGAATCGACCGGCACGTGCTTCTGGATGCCATTCACTGAACACCGTTTCCGTGCCGACGATGCCGACATCACTAGAAAACCAATGATAACAGTTGGGTAACTTGAGGTGGGAGTAGGAGCTTTTTGTTGTTAATACGACTTCGTCGAATATCTAACAGTTATGATAAACCAGAATTTCAGATTGATTAAGAATTTTGAATTCTTGAACACAAAAATGATTTCACATTCCATGAGAAGTAATGTTCACTTATCTGTTAGCTGTTTGAGACCTACCTAAAATTTTAGTACTAAAATAAATCAAAATTCCCAGTTCCGTCCTTAGTATTCAAGTGTACTGAAACCAATAAATTAAAATAAAAGTTCTCCACTTTGTAATCATTTCGAACTCTAAAGTCGGGCTAGCTTCTGGCATTCGAATGATTTCTTGAATGAATTAGCGAAATCGAAGAATCTCCGATTTAATTTGTTGATATGTCGCAGAGCTCTCATGACTTAAAAAATCTCATACACGTGGTACAAAAAAGTCATGTAAGAGATATAGAAGACATTGCTATATGGACAAAAGAACATGGCAAAGATGTGTTGTGTCTCACGAGAACAACCACTGAACATTATGCGAAGAGGCCTACGTGGCTCACTGGTGTCGCGGTATGCTTTTGATCACATGAATTCTGGTTCAATTCCTCTTTTCCTCTCAAAAAGACTAACAAGCCAGCAATTATGCGGAGTGAAGAGACGAACTCAAAAAGGCAACATCTCTCGTGGTTTGGGTGCAGGGCTTGTTTGAGAAAAAAGAAAGCACTTTCACAAGTAATTTATTTGATAAGTCATTAAATTTCACCAAAGGAAATATGACGTTTCAGTAGGAATATAACGATTTTTAAGCCATTTTAGTTTAAGAGAGGCAAAAAAATCGCATCAACCCCTCCATTCTCCCTGAGTTTAGACTCGCGATCGATACGTATCTTTTGCACAGTCAGATCAAAAAGCAGCTGTTTTCTTTCTAGCGTTCCTCTATCAAAAATTTGAACGAGCTTTGTTGATTTAAGTTGAAATTTCACAGGCGAACATATCGACATGAAAAGGAAGATGTTTTTGACTGAAGGTCGTTGATGTAGATGAGAAAAAAGCAAGTCGTCGCAATCGCGTCGGGACCAGTTTTCGTCAGTCATTTCAGTATTAGATTGATGATGTGATTTCCTAAGGATGTGATGAAAGTACGTAGTATGAACGATTTTGTGGACTTGATGACATTGATTGAACTGTAAAGGAACTGCAAGAAAATTAACGAAGAAGAAGGAGGAGAAAAGAACCAACAAGAAAACGGAAGCAAAAAAAGCGCGGTGAAAGTCTATTGCCTTCGGTTTTGCGATCTCAGACTTCATTCAGACTGGAGTTCAGTAGAAAATTTTCGATCCTGAGAGCTTCCTTCGGATGTTCTAATGAGGGATTTTTTAGAATTTTGCTATAACCATGCACAAACTGCTAACGATATCGCTCAATAAAAATAAGATATTGGAAAAAAGATATGAATAAACTCATGGATAGATTTTTTTATAAGAAAAGCGAAAATTTTTTACAAATTAACTCCCAAAGTAAGCAAAATGGTGGATGGAAACCCAGTAAGATACACATCGTCGTTGGTTCGAACTCGATTCGGACCAGCCACAGCCGCCCTCCATTCCTTCGGGATCGGCAAATTATTACCACACTTGTTTATGAAAGTTCACGCTCAATTTTGAAAAAAGACAAGGTTCTTAAACCGCAGTCGTACACACGCCAATCCGAGGGCCACTGTCGATGACGGATATGAGAAAATGAATCGAATCAAAAGAGTGATCGGATGCGCACAATATGTTAAGCTGGGTGAAATAAGAAACGTATAATTAATCAAAACGTATTTGGGATCTTCATAAACGACGAAATTTTGGAGATGTATAACTTTTATTATTTCAGACTTTTATTATTTCAGACTTTTTATTACTTTTATTATTATTTTTATTTATTTACACAGACTTTTATTTCAATAGATAAACCCCACCATGAGCTGGGATACGTTTGTTTAAAGTTGAAAGAACAAGTTTCCCAAAGCACGGCTACGCATGAACCATATTTGGGTTACGTTATCGTTGATAGTCTAAGCAAATTAATAAAGGATGAGACACTGTTTAGTCAATACCGCTTGCCAAATTCATCTAATTCACTAAAACTAAGAAATAGCACTCATTAGACGATGACGAACGTATGGTAAAGCTAACATTGCTGGTTTTTGCTTGTTCTTTAATCTATAAAAAAGTCAAAAATCTGAAAACGTTAAACTGGACTGCCAATGGAACTTGGTGATTCCGTTCCTTTTAGAAGATATGACAAGCTCCATTACACAATCAAATCAATGCACATATTTTTCATATGCCCTAAAGAATCTTAGTAAACGAACAAGTGATTATGCAACTTGAACAAGAAGAAACATCGTTTCGATATTTTTTCAAAGCTGCTAGTTAACTACTGACGGTACCAGGAAACTCGAAAGACCGACTTTCTATGAACCTCGGCATAGATAGCTGATATATTTATTTACGTGATCTTATAAACTAATCTTCTTAAGCTGACGCGAGGTTGGTACAGATCTTCGTTGTCGTTGTCGTCGTTTTTTTTTGATGTTATTGAACGATGGCTGACGTTTCGGCGACTTCGCCTTCCTCAGAGCCTGGACGTACTTTACGTTAGAATACTTTTTATTATTCGGTGGAAAAGAAGGTTAAAGTATTAATGAAAATCAAACTTTCAAATAGACGCCATATTGAACAGAAAGGCCACTCACCGTGATGTTACGTGCGGGACTGGCCCACACGTAGTTCACGCGAGCAAGACACGCCTCGGGGTCAAAATATCATTTTGAAATAGGGCGCCAGGTCACGTGTGATAGTGAGGCATTCGTCCTTCCGGTTCATCTTTGGATTTTTGAAATTTATCCAAAACGCCTCAAGAGTTTTGCGCGTTGATGTTTTTGATTCCTGCGCTAGGATCCGCACATTCACTTCAAAATCATCGCCGTTGCGCTTTTGTGCTCTATGTGTACCTAGAGGGGTGTTTAAACGGATTTTAGCTTTCCCATGTAGATGTTCTTTTATGCGGACACAAAAGTGGTCTACCCCTTTCCCCGATATATTCCTTGCCGCATGCATTACATGAGATCAAGTATATTATACCTAAACTCTTGCAATCCCCGTCTCTCCCGTTAGGANTATTCGGTGGAAAAGAAGGTTAAAGTATTAATGAAAATCAAACTTTCAAATAGACGCCATATTGAACAGAAAGGCCACTCACCGTGATGTTACGTGCGGGACTGGCCCACACGTAGTTCACGCGAGCAAGACACGCCTCGGGGTCAAAATATCATTTTGAAATAGGGCGCCAGGTCACGTGTGATAGTGAGGCATTCGTCCTTCCGGTTCATCTTTGGATTTTTGAAATTTATCCAAAACGCCTCAAGAGTTTTGCGCGTTGATGTTTTTGATTCCTGCGCTAGGATCCGCACATTCACTTCAAAATCATCGCCGTTGCGCTTTTGTGCTCTATGTGTACCTAGAGGGGTGTTTAAACGGATTTTAGCTTTCCCATGTAGATGTTCTTTTATGCGGACACAAAAGTGGTCTACCCGTTTCCCCGATATATTCCTCGCCGCATGCATTACATGAGATCAAGTATATTGTACCTATTTCAAAATGATATTTTGACCCCTGGGCGTGTCTTGCTCGCGACTCCACGTGAACTACGTGTGGGACAGTTCCGCACGTAACATCACGGTGAGTGGCCTTTCTGTTCAATATGGCGTCTATTTGAAAGTTTGATCTTCATTAATACTTTAACCTTCTTTTCCACCGAATAATAAAAAGTATTCTAACATAAAGTACGTCCAGGCTCTGAGGAAGGCGAAGTCGCCGAAACGTCAGCCCTCGTTCAATAACATCAAAAAAAACAACGACAACGACAACGACAACGAAGATCTGTACCAACCTCGCGTCAACTTAAGAAGATCAGTTTATAAGATCACATAAATAAAAAAAAGGTACCAGGAAACTTCAAAGCACCCAACCCACTGTGTCATCAAAGCGAACATTATTCTTCCAGTTCGCATGTTATGACTTTGCATTCAACAACCTACTGAGGACATAGGTGTCGATCGAACTGTCTTCTAATCACAGGAATCCTTGCTGGACAAGTCTCAGAAGAACAGTAGTAAAGTATATATACAAATCCATAACGGTTGACGGTGGCCTGTGGTGAGAATCTTGGAACACGTCAACTTCGCTATTTCGGGATTCAAAAGCCAATCGAGCTCAAGTAGAATTCAGCTTATCAAAGAGAAGTGAGCGAGTTATGTCATCAAACCGCAGTCGAAGAACAATAGCAGCAGATGTTCCTGCGAGATATGGAAACTGAGAATTTTGAATATAACTAGCTTTCAGGATCGACTTTGTATTACCCTCGGCATTGGAATATGAATGCGTCGTTTTCTTGTTCAGCAATCGCGAGGTTTTTAACAGCATACATTTACTTCCATAGAAAAACACAATACAATACAATGCTAGCTGACGTTTCGGCAGTATCGCCTTCTTCAGAGCCGCTTTTTCGTGACCTCCAATGAGGAAGTTTAGAACAGCTGATTATAGTCGCATGTCTTTTAACTAGCTTTTTTCAGGCTCTATGTAAGTGAAGTGCGTAAGTTGAAAAGATGAAGAAGAGTGGAAATGAAAAGAGTAGAAGGAGGAATAGGGAGAAAGTTAGCGAGTGCTTGCCTGTTCCATTTTGACAAGCGTCTCTTGCGAATCGAGTCGAGGTATTCAGCAACGAAATCGTCGAGTTATTCGACCGACAGTCAAATGGAGCATCTAAAAATGAACAATCTTATAAATTGCAATTTTTAAAATATTATCATTCACAGGGTAATGTAGTGAAGAACGAATTTAGGTATAACTAGTATCGTATGAACAAGCTTAGCGCAGGAGTAGTGATGCCGTTTACTAATTGCGGGGTCCTTGTTCGATTCAACAATGTACCAATCAAGC